CCTAGAATTCAGTGGATGTTTAAAATATACTCATTTGAAGGATGGATAGATGGATGGGTGGGTGGATGGATAGTTGGATGGCAGGCAATACGAGTGAGAGCAACTGGCAAATGACATGACACTAGGTTAAAAGGCGACAGGCCTAAGATGCAAACTCCTTCAAATAACACTTTAGGGATTACTCCAAATATGTGCTGAGGAATTAAAGAAGAATCTGAAAGCAGCATAGTTTTATTAAGAGCCTTGCAGGTGTGCAACAGACCCAATAATGGGCACCATTGTTGTGGTGTTCCTCCTTTGTTTTCAATAGCTAGTTGTGCCTCCTTCCTCTCCCCCCCGGGCTGAGAGAGCAACCCTGCCTGGGCCTTTTGCTTTAAGTGGTGAGACACATTCACAGCAAAGCGTTCTGTGGTCCATGTGCTTTGGCTCTACTTGCTCCTCTCGCTGGGCAATGTTAGTTCTGGCTCATTGGTGTTTCCTCACGTGCATGCAAAGGGGGCAGGGCTGCTCTAGCAAATTTTTCTATGTGTTTTCTGCAAATGGGTAGCACATTGACATATCAAAGGAACCCAGAGCTGGAAGAGTTTGTTCCTGAGCTCCGAGTGGCCTCCGGCCTCCACCCTTCACTACCCCCTCTTAAGAGAATTTCTCTTGAGGTTGGGAGACGTCTTTCTAGCCACACCTATGTGTTAAAAATGCCTCTGCCAAGTCCCGCTGACTAGGGAACAGTTGATGGCAATTACTGGAATATTAGCCACACTAAGTTTTCTCTCAATAGCAATTTTTCCTGACAGAAGCCAAGACGTTCAAAGTCTGGTTGTTGTTCTATCCATAATTATTCTCATAGCGCCCTTCTCCTAAATGAGTTCCAGGGTGATATGAAGGAGGCCGAAATTGCCACTGAGCTGGGGATTTGTTCAATAGCTGGTTTCACATCAATGCCATTTCATCCCTTCAAGCTGGTAGATGGATTTTAAAATGGGAGTATCACTCGTATGTTACCATACAGCTGACATGTATCTTTGGTCCTATTCTTTGTTATCTTAGTAGTTTCATGCTATATGTGTACCATAACCAACCTGTTGCCTATGAGAAACATGTAAGTATTTACAGCCACTGTTACAAGTTTATAAAGTATTTTTCTATCTTGTTTTATATGTATGTTACATAACACTCAAAATAATTTTTTTTTTATTGAGTAAAGGGTACAAAATGCAAATCTACAATTATGATAACTGAAAATTGCCAAACTTTCGCAGTACTTTATTTTATGGGTGCCTTGTCTTTCCTTGGGCTTTTAGCTGACGAATGAATACATTAGACACCCCTGGGTTTTCGTTACATAGAATTTTACATAGCTTGAATTTTAATTCTTTGGTTCTTTGCTGTTTCTGTTGACCCATGATGTTATTTTAATAAATGTTATAATATCAACCTAAAAGAAAAAAGGGGAATGTGACCCTGTGCACTGGCTGTGAGTTGAGCATACCATGAGGAAGAGGAGTCAGGAAGCCCATATGTATGTAAAATTGCTGAGGAACACTATCCTAGTCCGCCATCTCAGCTTCCAAACAGGAGATGGCTTTGAGTTCTTCCTCCTTCGTGTTTGTGTCCTCTGCTGTGGGAAAGCCGCTCCTTGTGGATTCTCAGTGTTACCTGCAGCTGAGCCCCGAGTTGCAGAAGAATTCAGCTGGATGATGGTAGTAGGCTGGGGGTATAGTTCAGTGATGGAGCATTTGCCTAGCATGTCCAGTGCCCTGAGTGTGATCCCCAGGCGCCCCCCAAAGAAAATAAATACATTTTCCTTTATAAAGACATCTCGAATCGTCATCCGTTGACATGATATGTTTGAAAATTACAATGCTGAAGAGATGGGTTGCTCTTGCAGAGGATCCTAAGTTTGGTTCCCACCGCCCATGTTAAGTAGCTCCAAAGCACCTGTAACTCCAGTTCCAAGGGGATCTGATGCCCCTGGCATCATCGCCATCTACACTCACTTTCATATACCCACATACTTCACACGGTCATACACTTAATTAAACAGATCTTTTGTAACCGGGTGTGATGGCACACTTTAATTCTAACACTTAGGAGGCAGAGGCAGGCAGATCTCTGTGAGTTCGAGGCCATTCTGGTCTACAAATCAAGTTCAGGATAGCCAGGGCTCTGTTACACAGAGAAATCCTGTCTTGAGGAAGAACAAAAAACTTTTAAGTAAAAAGAAAATGCAGTTTATATTTCTGGTACTTTTTTTTTTTTTTTTTGGTTTGTTTGAGATAGGGTTTCACCGTATAGCCTTAGCTGTTTTGGACTTAGCTTTGTAGACCAGGCTAGCCTTGAACTCACATACATCTGCTTACCTCTGTCTCCCGAAGTACTGTGATTAAAGGCACACATCACCACGCCGGGCTTATATTTGTGGTACTTTAAAAATGTGACTTGATATACAAATTCTTTTGTAAGTTTTCAAATGGCTACATAAAAGGAGGTAGGCTCTGCTTTAGAGTGCTCCCTGCTGCCTTGAGGAATATAACCCATTCTGTACTCTGAAAAACACAGTGAGTTGAGTGCATGTTTTCACTCCGGCGTTCTTGATAGCTGTGCCTGGAAGTGGATGCCATGCATGGCTTTGAAGCAGGAAGCATTTTCTTGTTTAGTTCCTATTATCAAGTCTCGAATGGGGGTGAGAGAAGCATCCGTTCCTATGTGCTCTCCTCACACAGTTTCCCCCGAGTCAATTCAGCTTCTCTCTGGAAGTCAGACCTCCACAAAGTCAGTCCAAGAACACAGAGAGCCCCAGGAGCCTAAAGATGCAGTTTCTCGTGGCTGCTTAGGCAGAGGACGTCCCAGAGTGGGCCCCTCTTTTTGCTTTGGCACCATTGACCTCCAAACGGACATCTGGATCCAGCCAGCCAACAGGCCCTCCAAGGCACTGTTGCCTAAATTTACACTGGCCTCTGTTAGCATCTCTTACAGATGAAGGGGGTTCACCATCTCTAACTGGATTACACCAGGTGTGAGTCAGGCGACAGGCCGCAGGGTTGGAGGGTGCTGGTGGGCAGGTGTGGGGACAAGGAAGCACTGCAAAGAATACAGTGACCGTTACCAAGTTAGCTTTGACACCTCTCGGCTTGTCCTGTAACTGGAACTATTGGGCAGACATTTGCACCATAACTTTCTCTTTCCACATTTACTGCTTTTATGTGATTTGGGTCTCCAAGGAAAGTGGTTAAGGGCCAGTTTTCTAGGAACTTGGGAGGTTTTGTTATTCCTGGATCACACCAAATACTGGTCATTTAAAATTGCTTTATTGAAGTATAATTTACATGCTATAAAATTCACTCTCTGTAAGGGAACAGGTCAAGGATTTCTCGTAAATACATATAGTGAAGTTTGAGTTCCAGCATCCCAGAAAGCTCCCTTGACACCTGAAGCTTCTGGCTGCTTATGAATCATGCTGACTGTGTTTAAGTACCATTCCAACGAACAGTAATGCCATTGAATATCCTTTCTGTTTTCCATTGTTCTATACCAAGGAAATAGGTCACAGGCCATCTGTTTCATTGCTTGTTAGTCTTCATCATTAAGTGTATACTTCCCATCAAAAAATGAAGTACATCTTGCCAGTGAGTAGGAGACTATATGGTTGCCAACTACAATGTTACCATCTTTTAAGATAATGCACCAAGAGTATGCTTCTTGCCACTTATGGGGGTGGGAGGGTTGTAATAGTTTGTCTTATTTCAAGAGTCCTATGTCCAAATGCCCACTGTGTGCCAGTCACACTGTCCTAAAAAAAAGGAAACAATACATGACCCAAGTCTTCAACGGTTCATGGCTCCTGAACTCAACAAAAATACAAACTATTAAAATTAGTGTAATTCTGTCATTGAGTCCACTGGAATGTGTAGACGTTAGAATAGCTGGCTAAACAAATGGTGTTCAATTGTGTAATTTTTGTAGCGTACATGGTGTGACATTCTTCCTCAAGAAACTGTATCCCCTGACCCTTCTGAACTCTGCAATCCAAACATGGTCTCTCTTGAGGACTTTGCTGGAGACTAAGTTATTGCTTACCAAGAAATACAGAACAGTGTAAGCAAGACCATCTCGGTCAAAAGGACAGAGCTTTGGGCACAGTGATCCCCGTAGTGATGCCCTGTGTGACAGTCACCATTTTAATGTGAGAATCAGCACTGGGCTTAATCAGCAAACAGCTACCCATTAAGTGTTCTGACAGAAAACGCCTACACCTCTTTCAGAAGACACACAAAGAACTAAAGCAGAGGGTCAAAGATGTATTCAGTAAATTTCCAAATGAAGGATGAGCCACGCCACAATATCCAGGACAAAACAGTAAATGTCGTAGGGGATGGAGCTTGCTTTCCTAAAACAAGACTGCTGAAGGCCTCTGACCGTGCTCTGCAGGCAGGGCACAAAGCTGTGACAGAATGTGGGCTCACACAAGCCAAATGCCATGGTAAGGTATGCATAAAGTGAACACTACCGCTGCTCTCCCCGCCCATCTTTTGGGATGGGCTGTTGTTTCTTTAACTATTAACTCAACTTCTCGACATACAGGGAATAGACGCACAAGACCGTCTTGGTAGAGATTGTGGTTACTAGTTCTACTGTGTTACCACTATTTGGTTTTAGGCCTTCCTCATTTGTGACAGGAAACCATAGCTCTTGATTTCCTCATGGATTTTGGTGTGGTTGTGAAGTCACCACACTCTGAAAGAAAATGGGTATAAAACATAAAAGGCAAAATCTTGGCTGCTTTTCAAAACCCATTGTCTTCCCATGTATTTCATTGGAAAGGATTCAATGCTTCTCTTCCCTCAGATTTTTCCAGGTCTGAGGAAGATAAGAGAAAGGTCTTGTCACACCATCTTCTGCAGGAAGCCTTCATGGGTGGGAACCATATTATGTCCCCAGCAGCTGGCCAGGTGGTGTGACTGTTCTTATTAGATCTAATATCCTTTGGTTTTGAATATTAGGCTGGCCAGAGAACAATGTCAGTCCTCCTCCTCCATGGCCTGTACCAAAGATGAGCAATTCAAATGGCAACAGCTCTGCACCAAAAGGTAATGCAGCCTTACCCTCCGCCACCACAGCTGCCTCCCTTTGCAGTGGCCTATCACTCTTCCTCTGTTTCTTTACTAGTTTTCCATTTGCACATCTAGAGCTCAGTGCAGGCCTGTGGGAGGAGGAGTTATGCAGGACCCTAGAAATTACATTCTGCCCCCCCCTTTTTTCCTGGCTTACTGTCCTAATTCATCATTCCACTCATCAGATTCATCTGAGGGTTCATCCAATATGTACATCTCCATGAGATCCTTGAGATGATCAGCTGAAAATATCAAAGTAGGAAAGGCCACTGTGGTTTGTTGTCTCTAAAGATACCAAAAATAACTTTGCTTACCACATAAGGCATGGAGTTAAGCGAGCCTCTGGAAGGGTGGGACTTCTTAGCTGTCAAAAGAGGTCCTTTCAAGCCTGGGAGATCTGTTCTGTTTTGGGACAGGCCCCTGAAGTGAGCATCTGCTGGACAGGAGGTGTCATGTGTATTCACAGCTTTTATCTCTGTGGCTTTGGTCATCACCCCTCTCCCTTTGACCACGGGACATTAGAGGAAACGTCTGTCCCATTAGCATCATAAGGTGTTCCTATGATGTTCTTTTAAGTGCTGTGCAAATAATTTGCACCTGCTTTTTACTCCTAGTGGAGACCTGGGGGATCTGAGGGTCGGTCTCCTCAAAGTGCAGTCAGCTGGCTTTGTTCCTAACTGCAATGCTGTGATCACTCACCGGGGACCTTCTCAGACCCCCGCAAGAGGTTGGGAGGAAGGGGAAGAAAGTGTGTTGCGTATTTTCAGTGGAGATATCTTTTAAGATATCTTTTATATTTTCTATCAAGGACTGAGATAGACTAATGCATCTCTATCAGTCTTAGCCCGTACATTATCCTCATATGACCTCCAACATGATGACGAGGTTCTCTCCTGTCTCAGTTTGTCACTGACATAAGCTGGGGTTGGGGAGGGCTAACCACATAGAATTCAATTAAGGTTATATGGAGTAATAACCTATTCCATTACTATGCAGAGAACTGTTCAGACTTCTCTACCTTGCCATTACCAGCTGTTCTGTGTGTACTAGTTGCATCTCATATATGATGACATAATTAATACATGCATTGATTCTGTCATTGCAAAGTGATGTACCCATTGGGTATTATGATGAGAAAGAGGGAGGTGAAGCTAAGGTAGAAGGTGCTTCGCTCACTATCTTAACAGTTCGGTGCCATTTTGATGATGGATCAAAGACGGCTCATGTGATCCTAATCCCATTCTATCCCTTCACTCTAGCCATTTTTTAGACTTTTCAGCCAGATGGCAAGCACATTCCTGGCTGCGCCCTGCTAGACGGGTACCCTATTAGAGAGACATTTATTCATGCCTCTGACACCTCCACCTGTTGGAAAGGGAAGAAAGCCTGGTTTCTCCAGCCAGTGAAGTAGATAGTCACGTGGAATGATTTATCTGAAAGAGTCCCAGCTTGTTTATAAATGGCTTGCATGAGGCACTCTTTTGAAAATTCTCTCCTCATCTGGAAGACACTTTGGCTGTCTAATCATGGTTTCTGGGAAGTTAGGGAAGGTGATTTGGTGAAAGAGCAGTTGAGTGAAGGGCTCCAGCGAGGCTGAATGGAGGAATTTCAAACCCTTGAAGGGAAGGGCAGGCATGTCAAGGGCCTTTTGCCTTTGACAGGAAAAGGTGAAAAAGGCAATGACCATAATGGCAGAGAGGCTGGGCGTGAGTATGACGGCCTCTGGGTCCATGCCTTTGAAGGACGAAAAGAGAAACACCAGATTGCTCCTGACCCAGAGGATTTAAAGGGTGCTCTCCGAAAGTACCTTGCTTCCTCAGCCATTCAGTCTGATTTCTGAAATAGCTGTGCTGTTTCCTGGCTGAGGCGGAGAGACAGGGTGTGGGGCTTTGAGCAGGTCTGTGAGCTGTGGAGGTGCAGATGGTGGCTAGTTAACTGAGCCTCTGGTCACAGTTTGAGTGCTAGCCAGACCTTCAGGGCACATGAAATTCCCTTACAGTTAGAGCCCAGGGGTCATGGGATTTGTCCCTTCTAAGACCTGTCTGAGTCCAGCATGGCAGAGGTGGTCATTGCTTTGTTTATGTTCCTTTTTCTTTCCCCAGAGCCTGCCAAGGCTGCCTCAGACCTGACTGCCTGGTTCAGCCTCTTTGCTGACCTCGACCCCTTATCAAATCCTGACGCTATTGGGAAAACCGATAAAGAACATGAATTGCTCAATGCATGAGTCTGCGACCTTCAACAGGGAGCCCCCGGGCCACTCCACAGCGCCTCATCCAGGGCTCACAGAAGGCTAACATGCTCAGTATGCTGTTTTAATATTTACGTGCCATTTTAATAAAATGAGAGGGTCACGGCCCCGTTTCTATTGCTTCCGTTATTTACTCTTACTTGGTTTGTATGTGCTCCGTGTGTCTGGAACAACAGAGGAGGGGTACACAGGAGCGGTTAGCAGGTCACTTGCTCGCTCTTGCTGACATCCCTTCGGGACCATCACTGTGTCAGGACACCACAGTGTGAAATCCAAGTCTGAATGACACAGCTGAATGTGGATTTACATAATTTGTGCTCGGGGACACCAGAAGGCCAACAGACTTTTTTGTCCCCGTGTCCCTCCGAAGAGGCTTCAGGAAGAGCCCTTGATCCTGCCATACCCCCTTCCACTGAGCTCTGGGTGAAGATCTAGACAACCAAAGACACTGTCTCCCGCTACACTCGACTGTGGCCATACGCCACATGCATGGACCTTTCTATTGAAAGCAGCCATGTTTGCACATCTCCTTTCGTCCTCTTTGTGTCTGAATTCAAAAGCATGCATTCCAGGAACCTCAGCGATTTATTTTTGACAGATTTAAACATTAAACAGAAAACAACATTTGATTTAGAAATTCAACTCGTGGATCCTGTATGGAGCCCCAGTTGTGCTAGGAAAGGCATTGTGGGAGGTGGGATAGAGGAGGAAGGTGAGGTCCCCATGCAGTTCTGAAGCCATTGACTAGACCTGTGCATTCCCAAACAAGGCAGCCGGGTATGTGGGCTGCAAGGGACTTTTGTAGGATCAGGAGACAGTGGTAATGACAGATTCACATGTCAGAAACTGTCAATATCATAGACCCTAGAGCTGGCACCTCCCCTCCTATGTCATAAGTAGCCTGCTAAAGGGCCCTACACAGTCCCTGAAGTTCATGTAGACCATGTCTTTTCACGTGAAGTTCTGTGTGAGGGTAGAATCAGTGATGATCCAGGGAGAAGGTTCTCTGTGCTAGGCCAGGCCAGTGGCCTTTTCTGGGCTTCTGTAACCCATCTCAGAGAAGGCCTCTGGACTACCCTCAGAAACGCAGGAGCACCTCATGGAAGGGCCTGAGCACGGCTCTAAAAACTCTGGGGGCTGGAGACACAGACTGTTACAGATACCTTCCTGGTGCAGAAAAGATAAAGATGTGGGAGCCAGCTGGGGGCTTAGCATGGGCAGCTTTCCCTGTGCTTGGTAGATTTGCTGCCCTGTGCTGTCAGGGTTGTCATTAGCAGAATCTTCTCTTGCAGCTTTCTGAGCTCTGCATTAAGACACCTTGAGGTTGTCCTGATACGGAATCTGAAGCCAGCCTCACACTCCTCTGAACAGAGGTGTTCTTGCCATCCCCCTAATGCACCATCCCAGAACCTGTTTACTACGTGAGACACCATGACTACCCTACTCGGTCCCCAAAAGCTTCCTCAGAGCCCACCTCCAGTCGCTAGAATGCCTGTAGGTGCACCTTCAATTCTCCAAGGATGAACGTACTGTCTCCCTGGGAGTTTGACTCCTGGCCTGCCTCTGCCTCTCTCCTCCAGCCCTGTGGTACCCTACCTAGCCTGGTCAGGCATGCGCCTCTACCGTTACCATTAGATGCTGCCGTCCTAGAGAACACGACCCCATTTTCAAAGTCTGCCTCTGAACAACCTGCATCCTAGAGTCACCTTGGGAACGATGGATTAATGATTGCCAGATCAAGCGGCTTTCCAAGGAATGAGGACTAAGGGTCCTAGTTTCATCCCGGGGTCATGAAAACCCCAGAAGTCACAACAGGAATCTGAATCTGAAGGGCCAGTCTGGCTTCCTCTAGGTGGTCAGAGAAAGAAGGCGGTTGGAGGGCAAGCAGGGTGGAGCTCTTCTGTTTTGAATGGGTTAAACAGTAGGAGGCTGCACCTTGACACTTATCAGTGAGTGGAGAAAAGAGGATCATGGTTGGATAAGCTCTGCTACAGGAAAAGGGAAGTGTTGCTTGTGGAGTCATTTTCACCCCGAATCTTCTCTATATTTCTTGAGAAAAAAAAAGAAAGAAAAGAAAAGAAAAAAGACTGTTTCCTTTCCTATCTGCAGTCCACTTAGGAAGCCTCTTGATCCCCTTTGAGAGTCGTGTTTTGATCCTGCAACATAAAGCCCCGTGACCACCTCTCCTGTGTGAGGAGAAGCAGCTGCTGCCTGGTTCCCTTGTAAGTGCCCTGTGCACCCGCCTGGCCAAGGCGCTTCCTCTGGGACCCACCTGGTGTGGGCTCCCCAACTGCCTACCACCTGGTGTGGGCGCCCCAACTGCCTACACCAGTCCTGTCTCGGAGTCAAAGTGCCTTCGCCCTCTCCCTCCTCACCAACAGTCTCACTCATCTCCATCTCACCTTGGGCAGCTGGCCTCAGCCACAGTTATACTGGCACTTGAGGCAAAGATGGGAAGCCTTTTCCACAGGCTTCCTTGGTTTTCCTGGGTTTCAGCATGACTCTGTACTCCCCAACTCCCCACATCTCCCCAACGCCACCCCCACCCTGCTACCTCCCTCATGGAAAGGAGGGACCAGGAATGTTTGTGCCTGCCTTCTTTCCCCAACTGGCATTGGCTCTCAGTTCACTTTACAGATTCATTCCCCTTAAAATGTAATTTTAGAAATGTCAAGTTGATTTTTGAGTTCTGGGTTTGTCAAAAAAAAAAGCATCCGTCAGACTCAGAATTAGAAACCACTGATTTAGAAAGAGCCAGCATGTTGTTGTTGTTGTAAAATTTTGCCCGAGAAAATGTGCTTGAAGCCAGCACCGCTGGGTATGAAGGAGAGGCAAACCCATTGTGCTTTAGCCAATTTTTATAACTGGTGTGGGGCCAGGGCTGAGGGCCCTGATGGCACTTTGTGCCGCTGCCCACCTGCCAGATGACACCTACGAGGCCCCTCTTGCCTTTTGCCCCATCCTGCATCTCCTGGAGTCGGCATTGACTTCCCCCTTTAGGAGATGCTGAACCAGCACACCCCCGGCCCAGAGCCAGTCAATGGCAAGGGCTCATGGCTAAATCTATTTGATTTTGCCAATATATTAGAGATGCACCTGGCTTTGTGATCAACTAGTGTCCTCCACAAAGGCCACAGTGACTCCTCTGCTTCCTGCTTTGATTGGAAGCAGCTTCCAAGCCCTCTGCTTGGCACTCTCAGAGCAGTGATGTAGGTAGGGCTCTTCGGCTCTGTTGGAACATAGATGCCAACTTGGAGGCCAATCCAAATGACTGACCATGGCTGCCAAGAATTCTGCACCGGGAAGGCTTCTAGTAAATGAGCAATGTTTATGGTGGGTGTGGGGCAACCAACACTACCTCAGCCTTTGCCTTTCATGGAACTTTTCAAATTAACTTTCTTATCAAAGGAAATGAGTAGTCTGGAACCTCCAGGGAGGGATCTGTGTGATATGAACAACGAAGTTCAGAGACTAGCCATTACCAAAACCCATCCCGACTCAAACTGAGGTAAACACCAAACTTGTAAAACTAGCATTTGGAAGGTGGAGGCAGGAGGACCATGAATTCAAGGTCACCCTTGGCTATACAGTCAGGTTGAGAGCAGCCGAGACTAAATGAGGTCCTGTCTCAATAAACAATAAATTAATATTTTACATATGACAGTAGGCTTATTGCTTAGGTGACCATCTATAAACTCCAGACACAGATCTAAAGGTGCATATTTGCAACCATGCCCTGCCCCCATCTCAGATTCCTCTGTTGCTTCAGTCCATCAAGCATTTCTTCAGGAGACAAGAGGGCCACAAGTATCTGTCCTTGAAATTTTGGAATGTTCCATGTGTGAGTCCTGTGTCCACTATTCATTCACTATGCTCAAAGAGAGGAAAATAGGCTGTTTGATAAGCTTCCTCCAGTTAAACCTGAGTGCGCTTACTAGAAGAAGACAGAATGGAGCCTGCGCAGAAGAATGCAGTAGAGATCTGCTCAGGTTTCTCTACTGCAAGGAGACATTTTTCTTCCCAGAGGACAGTGAATGGCAACCGGGCAGTTAAAGAAGCCAGAGGCCTTTGGTGACTTGTTGAGGCTCCTAGATCATAGAGCCCTCTGCATCTGTCACACTTTTATCCAGAAACTATAGGAAACTAGGGACCAAGGAGCCATCAATTAACAGTCAAAGTCAGTGGCATTCCAGGCCTGGAGCCCATGTTGTCTAATCCCAAGCCAGGGCTTCTTTTAAATCCAAGTGTTTGCTAGAGATAGCAAGCTATAGGAAAGAATGCAAAGACAGGCAAAGTTCCTGTAAGAATTAATGTTTCCTCCCTTACACACATTTCTTATTTTTCTTTTCAGAAGACAGTCATTAAATATTAAGGAAAGCTTGATGAAAGTAGTTTAAGGCAGTAAACAAGAATTTATTCCTGAAGCGGGACAAATCTTTAGTGAAATCATATACCCATCAGCTACGAGTCATAGCCTTCTTTGAGCTTCAGGGTTTTTTTTGCTTGTTTGTTTGTTTGTTTTTCACTCATAAACAGGAAAATAACATTCCCTGTGGAGTCACTATACAGAGTAAGGGCTTCAGCTCTAGGGCGCTTCTGTGATGGCCTCAACACCATATGGAAACAGACACCCCCGAGGCTCCCTCAATTCATGAAATGCTATTTATTAAAGCAGGGGGAGGAGATTGTTCATTCTCAATGAGCTTCCAGTTGACTCACCAAGCTCCGTGTTCCTTCTTCAGTGTTGGTCGGCTCATTCCTAAGTACCAGTGGGATGGAAGGCAGATGGGCAGAGTCTAATGGAAAGCTAAAGACACAGCTCCACCAGTACTGCTTAAGCAGCATGCACAAAGCCTCGAGTCGGATCTCTAGAACCGAAGTTCCGGTGTATGTGCCGATAACCCCAAATCAGGAGGTGAAAACAGAGGATCAGAAATTCAAGCTCTTCCTCAACTACATCGCAAGTTCAAGGATAGCTGGCTACAGGAGACTCTGTCTCCCCCCTCCATACACATACATACATACATACATACATACATACATACATACATACATGCATACATAATAGAAGAAAGTCTAATAAGTATCTGCTGACTTTCCCATTAACTGGACACGAT